CCTCTGTGTCTCCTTTAAAAATGTACATTTTGGGCTTAGAACAGGTGGAGGGCTTACCAACGACATGCAAGCGACAGACTGGTGGTTTCTTAAAAGACTCAAATTTCGTACCTAGGTGTTTGGGAATTTTAAAAATTTCCTGACCCAGGTGGAAACCTGTAGAGTTTTCTTGTTCGAATCCTTAAGGGATGTCCTTTTACTTTGGTTGTAGGAGAGTTTTCATTATGGAAGCTGGTACGTTCTTATTGGATATGGATGTTTTTTCATCAGAATTGTGCCTCCTAAATAACTGCAAGTACTAGAAAACCAGACAGTACTTTACATCAAATCAAATGCAGAAGAAACACATTTGGAAATGTTGTTTTAAACTGGCACACATGTAATTCTTATAGATCCTTGAAAAGAAAAAAAAATAGTTGTTGTTATTTGTTGCTGTCCAGAAGAAGCACTGGGTCTGATCAGGGTTATTATGGCCTTGTATGCATTCAAGCGATGATAACCTAGCATACCACGAATAACAAGATTCACGGCATAACAGAATAAACTTTTGTTTCAGAACATGCTGAATCAACTTATGCATCTCATGTGTACAAGTTTGTTTTAGTCTTTTTTTTAAGCGGTTTTTTTTTTTTTTGGTATGATTTCTTAAATCAATAAATATGTGTTTTTCGCCTCGGTGTATATTTGTAAGAGTGAGCGCATGTTTGAGACAGTGAGCTTGTTATATTGCTGTCATTCCAATATGAGTGTCTCATTCCTTCTATTTCAATATGCTCGCTGTGTAATTTTTAAACAGCTTGTTTGAGTAGACCATACTGCATTCTTAGACCTAGTTCACTTCAGTCTCCTTCAGCCTTGGTTGAAGGGACTTTTTCTTTAAATTAAAAAAAAAACCTTTGCACTCTTACTCAAAGCACTGATTCATATGATTCACAGGGACCCGTTGATGAGTTTTACTTTACTTAGACTACAGCATTTAGTCGCGTGTCTTGGAACTTAATGACAATTTCATTAGTTTCTGTTGGGTAATGTCTATCAGTGTGGGAAGCCACATCATTGTTCTAGCATTCGGAAATTAATTGTGATTCTCTTTATTGAAGCAATCCTTGCAGTGATTTTCAATTCACCAACATGTTTTAAGTAGCATTTTAAAGGTTTGTTAATTCACTTAGTTTTATTTGACTTACATTATGTGTTCAACACGTCCCACTTGCGACATGCAACCATTTTTTTGGTTCATGTTTTCCTGTTTATTGAAATAAATTTTGGAACATCATCTTCGTAAAGAACTTGGGGTCTTTTTTCACCTTTTTAAATTTACCCCTAGAAATTGAACTGATACTGTGTATATGAGAAGGTGGGAAGTGTCTTTTGTGAGCACCATTACCTCAATCGATAGAACACACGACTGGTTCATGCATTTATTGTAAACCTTTATGCCGTCATCTGATGTATTTGGGTTGGTGTGCTTCGACAAGGCAAGGCAGGACCAATTGCAATGATCCGCAGAGTGAATTCTAGATATTATCCCTTTGTTGACCGTAACCTAATTCCTAATCCCATTGCCTCCAGTTTTTCATAATCTTTTTTTCAAAAACTAGTTACAGAACATGTATTGGTTAAATTCACATTGCTGCAAACAACAACTAAAAACTACCCATACATTTACACCTCATTGACCGGCGTCTGTAGTGTCTGTAGTGCAGTGGTTGCTGTCCAACGCAGAAGGCCTGAGTTCGATTCCCCTGAGAGGCGAATTTTTTTTCCAAGCGCTGACAATTGAAAGTCGGTGATTTAGGCATTGTACCGCGATTGAGACAGAGAGCTAAAAATTACTTCTGAGAGCAAATTCAGTTAGCCGGAAATGACACAAATTAAACTTGTTGAAACAACCATAGCAGTAAACTATTTTGGCAGAATCTATTCCGAAAATAGTCCTTGGAAAAATGTAAGCTCCTTAATCAGCACTTTAAATACCTGTTAAGTTGTAAGACATGTTAAATTTGGTTCATCATAACTTACCTACATTTTTAAAAATGTCTTTAGTTTATTTTTTAAGACTATTTTAAAAAAATAGTTTTATACCGTTTCCTAAAATGCCCTCAACAGTCTCGTTTTCCCCATCTGCTTCAAGACCAGAACGCGTCCTCTGTGATGGCACTCAGCCGTCCCTAATTTGCTTATTACACTGTCTGGCCCGTTCCTTATTATGCCGACAACACTAATGACATAAAAGCATTCTTTAAAAATCATTTAACCAATTATGCGCGGCGTTATGTCATAGAGTGCATCTTTAATTAAAAATAACTGTGCCATTAGGAATAGCAGGACTAGTTCAATAAAGCTTCATCAGAGACATCATGTTCGTGTTCTGGTTGTCCAATTACAGGTTTACATAACACAAATATAAACTACTTGCCTATATTGGATCAAAGTCTACGTCATTATGGAAACAGAGAACCATTAAATAAGGATCTCCAAGTCGTGTGATGGTTTTGTAATTCTCTTCACTATATGGACCCATCTCTCTTTATGTTTTGTGACATTTTTAGAATACCATAAGTATAATAAATATTATGTTTGCCGTCAGTTTTGAAAATTGCGTCACGTAATCAATCTGTATTAGTTTTCTGAATCTGAATTTCACCTCTTTGGGTATGGTCCTGGATTTTTTTTAAGGCAATATCCTGCCAAATGAAAAGTCCACCGACAAAATAATAATGGTGTACATGAGTTCTTCACATTGCTTAGTAGCCTGATTATGCTGTGTGATTAAATTTTTGGGGTTGTTGAATCTTTTAAGTAATGTAATTAGCATTTAAGTTATTGTCTCTTTCGAGATGTCGGCCTACGATAAGGGGCCAGTAAACTTTATGGCAGCTTCGTCGACAATCAGAAAGGGGATACCCATTGATTTCTTGGTGGGGAACGAATCTCTATCCCATGGCTTGTTGATGAAAGTTTGCAGAGACAACAAACAGTGTACTAATCGAAAACTTTCAGCAACGGTTAAGTAATTAATGCAGGACTTCCCTTGAGGGTCTCGTTAGTCCTGATATGGGGGGTAAGGCCTCGTGTTTACGGCTCTCTTCTCTGAGGTCAAAGAACTTGGTTGTAAACCTGACTGATGAAGGTTGGTTGTGGATAAGTTTTTCTCCAGGGGGTTTTGTCTTATAACCCGTATCTTATGGTGAGTTTTGTCAACCATAAAAAGCAATGATATTGAGTAAATTCTGGAAGCAAGGTGAGTGGTGAGGCGTTCTAAATTAGCTAAAAAGAAGTTGTGTGTTCGATTCATGGCTCTTCAACATAGGACTTTGTATCCATGGAAAAGATACTACATCGTATTCCCTTCAGTTCACCCTGTTGCAAATGTGTACTTGGCAGTCGATATGTACTTAATTGAAAAACAGCGGTATGCGCCTAGAGGGATACAACGCTGTATTCCTGAGGGGGGGGGGGTGAAATGATAAGCAGGAATGAGCAGTCATTGTGAAGTCGTGTTAAGTTTTCCTGGAGGTATACGTATACATAAAACTAAGCCCTTTAACTTTAAACACGTAAGACTCTATGGAAGTTTGCTTAATATACTCAGACCGGAAAACAAGGATTTGAAATATAATTTGTTTTTAATAATTTGGGTTTTTGTTGTCGCTTTTTTAAAAAGAAAAGTAAACTTCGGAACTTAAAAAATAATACCAAGTACAAAGTTTGATTTAGACTCATAGTATTCCGCTTAGAAATGTATTGTATTAAAGATCTGATAAATAGACAAAACGTTTTGGCACAGAAGATCCCAGACAGAAAAACAGGACCAGGGATCATTGTCTATAGATCAGTTATTCTGTGAAACAGAAGAAAGTTGAGCTTGTGGGGTTTTTTTTACAAAGCGTAGCAAAAACAGCAAGAACTGTCATCTGGGGACATTAAAACTTAGAGGAATTTTTTTAGCTCTTTGAAGACGTAGCGGACACATACGTCCGAGTAGCAGCTGAACAAAGACAATTTCGGTACATTTCGAACCATCATACACAAATCAAAAATACGAATTTACATAT